TTTAATATTTATTTTTTAGTTCTCGGCGGACACAACATCTTTGTTGGTATGTGGTGCTGAGGACCGAACCCGGGCCGCATGCATGCCAGGCGAGCGCGCTACCGCTTGAGCCACATCCCCAGCCCCAGATTTTTTTTATATGGTTCTGGGGATTGAATCTGGGGTCTTGTATATGCTTGGCAAATATTCTAACACTAAACTACACCCCCAGCCCTTACTGCTACTTTTAATGTGATTCTTTAAAAATCATATGTTCTAGTTGGCTTTTCCTAATGAAAAGGAGCACTTGGATTTCACATCCAGAAGACTTGTGTATCACACTTACAGACCTGCTCATATTACTGTCTCCTTGCACTTCAGGGCTAACCCACCTGGTAAATTCAATTTTCTAGCAATTTATGTACTAATTTAAAGCGGTTTTTTTTTTTTTGTACAGAATTTGTTAACTGAGAAACTAAACAGCTGTGCAAAGTGATTCAATTTGTCAGAGGGACAAAAGGCTTAGGTAGAGCAGGCCCTTAGGCCGTGGGACCTCATAGGCTTCTCCGCCTCTATTGCCTGTATTGTGTTTTTGTTTATTTCAGCTAGTAGTGATTATCACCCCCTTCCCTTCACTACCTTCAATTTCTATTTATCATTATTAATTACTATTATTTTATTTTTCAGATTTTTTTTTTTAGATTGGGCTCCACTAAGCACTCAAATACTACCTGTTATTCAGGTTTTGGAACTCTCCAGGGTGTTTCTCATAACACTATACAAAGAGCTCTGAGCTGAGATAAAGTGTTGCCTGTTGATGAATTGACTTGCTTCTGTTTATTAGCTCATCGAATTATTTTGTTTAAACAAACTTTTCTATAATGCTTATTAAATACTCAATACTGTCCTGTGTATGGTATTTTACAAATGTTAACTCATTTGTATCAGGTATCAAACCTGAAGTAAATATTCCTATAATTCCTACATTTTAAGGATAGCTTCAAAAAGATTTTAATTTGTAAGTGGGAGAAAGATACCCAGAGATTCTGGCTTCAAGGTCAGAGTATACAGGTAAACCATTTAGTAGGTTCTACTATTTTATATATTTCTTTTGTATCACATTTATAAACATGGTATATGTGAATATGAATATACACTCTTGATTATTCTTTTTTCCCCCACAAAAGCAATTTTTACACTGCTCTGCTACTTGTCCCCCCGCCCCGTTAACTGCATATTTTAGAAATATTTCTATACCAATATGTAGAACACTTCCTTTTTTAAAAGCTGCATGACATTAATATTTTGTTATGTGAATGTATCATACTTTACTTAAATAATTCCCTTTTAAGAGATACTTGATGACTTCTATTCTTTTACAATTATAACTTCTATTCTTTTACAATTATATTATTTATTTTTTAGGGTTTTTTTTTGCTATTTTTAATGTGATTCTTTAAAAATCATATGTTCTAGTTGGCTTTTCCTAATGAAAAGGAGCACTTGGATTTCACATCCAGAAGACTTGTGCATCACACTTACAGACCTGCTCATATTACTGTCTCCTTGCACTTCAGGGCTAACCTACCTGGTAAATTCAATTTTCTAGCAATTTATGTACTAATTTAAAGCATTTTTTTTTTTTTTTGTACAGAATTTGTTAACTGAGAAACTAAACAGCTGTGCAAAGTGATTCAATTTGGCACTGAGGACTGAACCCAGGGGCTAAATCCCTGGTTCTTTTAATTTTTTTAAATTTCAAATAGGGTCTTACTAAATTGCTGAGACTGGCTTTGAACTTTCGATCCTCTTGCTTCAGCCTCCCAAGTCGCTGGGATTATGAGTGTACCATTGCACCTGGCTCTCCATAGCCCTTTAATTTTTTTTTCTTCATAATGTTTTATTACTTGTTGTTAAAAAATTATTGGAAGCTGGGTGTGGTGGTGCATGCCTATAATCCCAGTAGCTGGGGAGGCTGACACAGGAGGATCACGAGTTCAAAGCCAGCCTGGGCAATGGTGATACCTTAAGCAACTCAACATAAATAAAATACAAAAAAATAGATCTGGAATGTGGCTCAGTAGTCAAGTGCCCCTGAGTTCAATACCTAGTACTCCCCCCCCAAAAAAAAGGCAATCCCTACCTCAATAGATTATCCTGTTTTCTGGCATGTAGTAAATTTTCAACAAATGAGTTTTGAAAAATGTAAATTTATCATTATGGATTTTCTTAAGAGTTTTTTTTTTTTGGGGGGGGGTACTGGAGATTGAACCTAGGGATGACCCACATTCCTAGTCCTGTTTTTTTTTTTTTTTTTTCTAAAACCACTTAAATGAAATAATATTGATAAAATATATTAAAATATTTTGTTCAGCCTTTTTTTTTTTTTTTTTTTTGAGACAGGGTCTTGCTAATTTGCTTAGGGTCTCACTGAGTTGCTGAGGCTGGCCTGGAACCTCTGCCTCAGCCTCCTGAGCTGCTGGGATTATATGCTTGCCCAGCTTCATTTATCATTTCGTTATAGTGAAAACTGAAAATTCTTTCTCCCAGCTTTTTGCTGCTATCTATAGTTCATCCTATTGTGCAATAGCACCCAGAACTTCTTGCTCCTATATAACTGTAACTCAGTTGATCGATCAACTGTAACTGAGTTAATTGATCAACATGTATAATTGGTSAACATTTCCCTCTACTTGTCTCCTCCTACCTCCTGCTGGGGGTTGAACCCAGGGCCCCTGCACACACTAGGCAGGTGCTCCATCACTGCACTGAGCTACACCTCCAGCCTAGGTTTTTTTTTTTTTTTTTAGTTGTAGATGGACACAATATCTTTATTTTATTTATTTTTATGTGGGATTGAATCCAGTGCCTCACACATGCTAGGTTAGCCCTCTATCACTGAGCTACAATCCCAGTCCTTTTAGCAAACTTTATTATGAATTTTACTATTTTAAGCAATTTAATTGCTTGTGTGCTTCATTGTAAGATGTCACAACCTTTCGTAGGTGGGTGGAGTATAGCTTCCAAATGAGAAATGTTCAATAAATGTCTAGGGTTTTAGTGGCAGTGGTGATTTTCCAAAATCATTAGTGTAGAAATCAATTTAGATGGTTTAGCACCTACGCTCGTCAGGTGTTTTATATCCAATAATATTGTGTTGAATTCAGGGGGAAAATCTGATTTTATTTTCAGTTTCTGCTAGTAAATTCTAAGACGTTTCACAACCTTACAAAGTAGTGGTGCTTGGCAMGGGCGTGACAATTGCACCTATTATCACCGTGATATTTTATTAAGCACTGAATCACGCTGTTCATGAACGGTTGTGGGTTTTGCTTTTGAGCTGAGCCTTATTTTCACATCTCTTTTCTACAGCTCTTGTGTTGGAGCTGCTGAGTTCCAGCAGCCCTCCTTCAAGGCATCTCCAGAGGGGGCTCGGTTCGTTACTCAGGGGCGGCACAAAGCGTTTTGTTCCTTTTCCTCACAACCCGCACGTGGTCTCCCGAGGAGACAGCAGAATGCCCACTAACTCATGCTTTTCCATTACTCATTCCGCCTTTTCTCCCAAGGTGGCGTGTGGGAGGTGTTGTGCGCGGGTTCGACAAGAATAGGCCAGGAAGCAATCCGCGGGATGCACTCATCCCTTTGCGCGGTTCCGTTTCCACCGCGCCGTGTTCGGCGGGTTCGCCGCGTGAGATGTTTTCCAAAAGGACAATGACTCCACACTCGGCCGCTCCCCTGTGACTGCCAGCTCTTGCACTGGCGTCTGGACCGTCCAGTCCAGCCCCACCCCCGCAGCGAACCTTTCGTCCGCTTACGAGGCGGATTACCCGGCTGCCCGGGCGCGGCTGCTGCCCACGAAGGCCCTTCGCGCGGCACCCGGGAAGGAGCTCCCGGCGCCTGCCTCGCCCACCCCGCAGCCTGGCACCCGCGTCGCCAGGGGGCGCTGAGGAATCTCCGCAGCTCCTCGCAGTTTCCCCGCCCCCTCCCTGGCTTCCCTTGCGATTGGCCCGCTGCGCTCAACTCTGCGCTMTGATTGGTTTGCTTTCACGTCAGTCCGAGAGGGGGCGGGCCGAGGTGACGCTCAGCGCCTTCGCTCGGGGCGGTGTCCGGCGCCGGCGACTGAGGCGGAGTTTGGTAAGCGGCGACGCTGGGCAGTCAGACGGCAGCAGTCCTGGGAGGTGTCTGTGCGCGTCCGAACCGCTTCTGGTCCGCCGCAGCCGCCACCCCCAGCTCATCGCTGCACCCGGTCTTCCTGCTCTCCGGCCTTCTATCCGCCGACGCCCTCGAATGCAGAGCCCGGCCGCTGCGTGATGGGGCTGTGGAGCGGCGCCCTGCGGCTCACGGCGGCCGCTGCTCGCGCTGAAGTGCGTCGGTGCCCGGCCCCCCGCGCCCCCGCGCGCCCCGGCCCCTGCTGACCCGGCCCGCCCGTCGGCCCGCAGCGCGGCTGAGGTGAGGCTGCGAGCGGGCGGCGGTTGGCGCCGGGGAGGGGACCGCTCCCGAAGACAGGGACGCGGGTCCGGGTCCGGGAGGATCCAGGGGAGGGGGCGGCGGGGCCGGGCGAGGCCGGGGTGAGAATGCCGGGGAGGGGCCCCTTCCTGGCCGCGACGCGTCCCGGGCTGGTGTCCAGCGGCCTGCTGCCCCCCGCAGTGCCCTGCGCCGGCCCTGCGTTTCCCGCGAGCTGCCAGGCCCTGTCCCTGTCCACAGGGTCAGCACGCCCGCCGCGGGCYGACCGTGCCCTGGGCAACGGCGCTGCTCCGCTGGATCCGTCCTTTTCTGTCCCCTTTGCTGTTCCCCAYTATGGTTGGCATCGGGGTTGGGCACGGAATGTGGCTATGCCCCTGTGCCAGCTGAAGGCAGGAAAGGGCATCGCGTGGCCCTGGGGCCACCGAGGGCACGACGCACGGGGAGGGGGCTTATTGGATGTCGGCCAGCAGTGAGCGAGGCTGGCGTGGTCTCGGCGTTGAGCCGACCAGGATTACTCGGGCAGCCATATTGGGAGGATGATCTGACAAATCCTTTAGGAGCCAAGTCCGGTTGCTGGAAGGCACCGAGTGACAGCCCTGGCAGCTTTCAGGGTGACTGGCCGCGCCAGAAGCCAAGTTGTGGGGGTTGGGAGGCCGCTGGAGCAAGCTAGTCATTGTTCATGTAACACAAAACATTCCCGGCCGAAACACCAAAATTGAGCTCCAAAATCACGTTTTCTTCTTGGTGAATTGGTAAAGGAGCTTCCAAGATAAAGTGCCAAGATAAAGAGTCCATTCTTGTTGTGATGAAATTGTATGTCTGTGTACTCATCTGATACGTCCAGTGCTGTGGACATAGAAAGCCTGTCGATGTGCATAGGCAGATCTGAGGATTGCCAAGGCCACTCTACTAGTCCAGGTAGTATATTGTATTGAATGGTTAGATTTGCAAAGTAGCTCAACAGGCAGAGATTAAGTAAACTGGAATATTTTGACAGTGCTTGTAGCGATTTTTAGAGGATGCAGGTTGTCATCTTTGTGGAATCTCAAGGTAGCTGAAATTAGATCCCTTGCTCATATATCTCTTCATGCTCCAGGCGCTCTTCGGCCAACACTGAGCATGCTGCTTTGTGTCATAATGTGTCGAGCCGAATCAAAGTGCACGATTGGATTTGAATAATTGTTAAAAAGTGATATCATGGTAGATATTTTATTTAGAGCCTGGCATTTTGTCTGCTTAGCTTAGTCATAACAAAATTTTATCTCCTCTAAGAAGTGAGGTGGTGTTTTCTAATTTTGTTGGTATTGTTGGCTTATGAAGTAAGTGAAGTTGTTAATGTTCCGTTTGGGGTTGGAATATGAAGGTTGCAAACATGTTGGCATTGTAAGGCCGATCTGGAAATGATCAATAACTGGATTCTGTGTGAGTCTGTAAATCTGTCTTTTCCTACATCCAAGAGGTGGCAGGACCTGGATAGATAGCCTGCCTGCTCCTTTATTTGTACATTGCTTTCATTCAAATCCCATTTCTCTGCTTGCTCTTTATTTCCCTCTTTCTTTCTTTTTCTTATGGTGTTCGGGATCTAACCCAGGGCCTTATGCATGCTAGGCAAGCAATCTGTCACTGAGCTAGTTCTCAGCCCTCAAACTCCATTTCTTTCTTTTTTCATTCTTCTTCTTCTTCTTCTTCTTCTTTTTTTTGGTACTGGATTTAACCCAGGGATGCTTTACTACTGAGCTACATCACTGGCCCTTTTTGTTTTCTATTTTGAGATAGGGTCTCACTAAGTTGCTTAGGGCCTCACTAAGTTGCTGAAGCTTTGAATTGGTAGTTTTCCTGCCTTAGCCTCACTAGTTGCTGGGATTGCAGGTGTGCCCCACCTCCTCTAGGCCCAAACTTCCTTCTTCCCTCCCTTCCTTCCTTTCTTACTGGGGATTAGAACTCAGGGGCACTTAATCACTGAGTCATATCCCTGGCCCTTTTTTTGTATTTTATTTAGAGACAGGGTCTCACTAAGTTGCTTAGTGCCTGACAAGTTGTTGAGGCTGACTTTGAACTCCATATCCTCCTGCCTCAGTCTCCTGAGTGGCTGGGATTACAGATGTGTGCCTAACCACGGTGTATTTCTTAATGCTTCTTAAGTTGAATTACTTAAAAAAATTTTCCAGTAGGTTTTTCTAAGAAAAATTTTAACATCCTCTATTTTTTCTTCTTTGCAATTTTTATCATTAGACATTTCCTTTAAAACTTGATTAAATTAAACATGGGTTCAACAGAAACTAGCATTTCTTGCATTACACTAATATGAGAGAAATGCAAAATGTTTGTTTTATAACTCCATGCCCGAAATAAGAAATATTTGTAAGTTTTTAATTTTTAGAGTTTATTTATATAAAGATCTGAAGATTGTGGTTAAACATAATTTGAGCATTTGGTAAAATTGAACCTGTTTGTGAATCTGATATGGAGATAATCTTTGAGTCTAAGAAGGCTCTGCTTTGATGAATATTTTTCCAGAGTTTATCCAATGAAGAATAGCTTCTGAAGCTTAGGACAGACTCTTTTTCCTTTTTAAGAACAGATATTAAGGTGGTTTTCTTTTTTTCTCTTTCTTCTTTCCCATTTTGAATTTGTGCAAGGAATAAATGCCCAGAATTCTGCCAACAGTTTCCAAGGCCAAAGCTTTCTAGTTCCTTTATCTGCTATGGTCTTGTCCCAGGTACAAAGTAAAGGACAACAATGGTCACTCCCTTGTTTGTCCCAGCTGCTAAATCATAGCAGGTCTTTTCCAGGGGTTTAAAAAAAAAAAATATATATATATATATATATCTTTTGTCTTACAAACAGGTAATTTCACATGGCTCTGAAGTTAAAGGTATCTCATGTGTACTTTATGTAGTTCTCTTTGAAAGAGGGCCTTATCTGAACAAATAAATATACACATATCTATCTATCTATCTATCTATCTATCTATATATTTTTTGTGTGTAGGATTGAAGAGAAATTAAACAGGTGATTGTGTTAGGAAAACCTGCAAAAGGTACCTTGGAACTGGGCATTGTGGCATGTACCTGGCATTCCAGCTACTCAGGAGACTGAGGCAGTAGGATAGATGACAAGTTGGAGGCTATAGCCTGGGCAACTTCTTGGAGAACCTGTCTCAAAATAAAATAAAAAGGGATGGGGACATAGTTTAGTAATAAAGTGCTTACCTAGCCTGTACAGACCCTGGGTTCAGTCCCTGGTATTGTAAAAAATATAAAACAAAAGACAATTGCTAGGTGCAGTGGTGCATACCTGTAATCCCAGCTGCTCAGGAGGCTGAGACAGGAGGATTGTCAGTTCAAAACCAGCTTCAGCAAGTTAGTGAGGCCCTATACTGAGTCCCTGTCTATAAATAAAATATTTTTAAAAGGCTGGGGATGTGGCTCGGTGATTAAGTGTCCCTGGGTTCAATTCCTTGTAGCAAAAAAAAAAAAAAAAAAAAAGAAAGAAAAGGAAAAGAAAATTACCTTGGGCCTCTCCAAGAGTTGGGATTTATTCTTAACAGCCCAATGATTCATTTTTGCTCATTTAGGTCATCACTAGTTAATTGAGAGTGCTTGTAGACTTAACTCTTTACCCTCAAAGAACTTTTAACTTTACCATTTATACAGGTATGGCAAGATAAGGTTGTTAACTCCAACTCCTTTCATTTTAGTACAATTTACTGTTCTGCTACTAATGCCATGGTAGTTTCCATAATTTGCACAGCGCTTCTTTTCCCTTTGTAATGTTACTATTAGAAGCTATTGTAACATTACTATTATCTAATACACTCATATTATTATGACATTATCATATAATAAGTATTAATATGTTTGTGATTGTTTGTGGTTATTTGTATATTTTTCAAGTTACAAGACTGTAAATGTCTGATGGGTTCAAACATTATTAAGTATTTAACATGGCATTGTTTACAACAAAACTTTCCTTTCAGCTAATACTATCCTCTACCATTGGACAACTTTGATTCTTGGCTTAGTTTTCCCTTCCATCAAATTTTTATTTTTAATTTGTTTTTGCATTCTGGGGATTGAACCCTGAGCCTTGTACATGTTAGGCAAGTACTCTACCACTGAGCTACACCCCTAACCCCCATTCAGATTTTTGACATCATCTTGGCAGATCAGATGTCAATGACATATAAATAAACAACAGCAGCAGCAACAATAATGATAAAATAACTTGAGCACTTTCTATGTGTCAGGCCTTTTTCTAAGAACTTAACATTGGTTAACTAATTTGTAGGCAACCATGTAAAACAGATACTACTATTGATCCTCTTTTTTCAGATGAAGAAACTGAGACAGAAGCTAAGTGACTTCTCTGAGGTTACTAGAACTAGTTTGTAACTACTCTGCCCATAAAATCTCTTAATTTTTGCTCAAGCAAACATTGTCTTGGTTCTGTTCTAGTAACTCAGTATTGTGGCCACATCTTCTAACATTGCTTTCATATCTGAATTTTGCCTCCCTAACTTAAACCATAGTAATTTACAGTTCTTATTGTCATGGTTTCTTTGTTTTTCCATTTCAAGTCTCTTAGCCTGTCAGTCTCTTACAGATTTTACATCTTTCCTTTCTTCTCTACACTGTGACCTGTGGGGTACGTTGCTTCAATTATTTTCTTACTAGCATTTGCAGTTTTTATTGTTCCTACCCATACCTTCTGTTCTTACTCTGTCATGGAGCAACCTCGTAGAGTATGGGGGTTTAGTGCCCCCATTAATAYGGAATTGAGTTCTCTTGTGTGTCTGCTTTGGTGTCTGCCAAAGCAGTTCTGCTCAGTTCCCTCCTTGGATTTCCACAGTGGCAGTTCTAAAATCTTGATCACTTGACTCAAGCTTTCATTTTCCCAGGCTTGGCAGAAAATTTTGTCTACTGCCTCATAGGAAAAAAAAAAAAAAAGGCATGAATTCCCTCAGCTTCCCTTTCTTCTACTTA